GTTTTGTCTGGGTAAATTTGTCTAGGTGGATTTGACACAGCACATGCGGCTGCTCGGTGAGCCCTTGCCCCCTCATCTAGTTTACCAAGCTTGTAATATAACTTTTTCTGTCTTGAACCGAATCAAATATAAATCACATTTCGTTGTGGAAAATGTGAGCCTCAAAGAAAAACCTCTATCTCGTCTCTCTTTTCAGTGCATATGATCGTGCCGCCATCAAGTTCCGAGGAGTCGAGGCCGACATAAACTTCAACATTGAAGATTATGAAGACGACTTGAAGCAGGTGATCCGTTTGCGAATTTTACTGTATTCCATAAAAAAAAGGGATTCATAGCTGTATCTTATCTTCAGCAATGGATACTCCTTATCTCTCCTCCGGTTACTTTTATTTCTTCTCTCGAATTATTCTCGTCATTTTATTTGGTGGTATGCGATGTTCATAGATGAGCAATCTTACCAAGGAAGAGTTCGTACACGTGCTTCGCCGACAAAGCACTGGATTTCCGAGGGGAAGCTCCAAATATAGAGGTGTAACTTTGCACAAGTGTGGAAGATGGGAAGCTCGGATGGGTCAATTTTTAGGGAAAAAGTAGGCCTTCTTTTCTTTTCTTTTTCTCCTTTTTATTTTTTATATTATTTCTCATTCTTCATGCTAAAGAATCTAGACTTCTCTTCTTATCTTTGTCATGACTAAGATTAACTCATTTGATTAATTAGGTACGTTTATTTGGGTCTCTTTGACACCGAGGTTGAAGCTGCAAAGTAAACTATCTTGATTTGCTCACGTCGTCGTTAATTGTTATTTCCTTTACTGGATTGTCCATCTCTAGCGAAGAATATTAAAGTATTAATCATGATTAGGGTTTTGATTTTACTGCGCATTTTTACTGCAGGGCTTATGACAAAGCAGCCATAAAATGCAACGGCAAAGAGGCAGTAACCAATTTTGATCCCAGCATCTATGAGAACGAGCTTAACTCCGGTATGTAATGGACTATAAATTCCAATAACAATCGTGTTTATGTTTTATTAATTAATCCACATGTATATACGTATATGTGAAGGAGCAGAATCCACAGGTAACGCTGCAGATCACAATCTGGATTTGAGTTTGGGGAATTCAAGTTCAAAGGCCGGGCATAATCAAGGGTTGGGGAATCACGCCACAAATGCTGCGAGCCACGATCAACACCTGCCATCTGAATCTAATTGGCGAAATGGGGGAAGCAAGCCTAAGGTTGGTGATATTATTATATATAGAATTTGCTGGTTCATTCCTTCCTTAAGTCTTGTAACATAATACAGTTGGTTTTTATTTGCTGCGTATTAATTGTTGGTTCAGCTGGTGAATATCCTACCAAAACCATGTAATAGAAGCAACAAGGACACACATGGAAGGGATGTGCACGGGGAGAGTGAAGCATTGAGGATGCTAAGTCAAACCCACCTTCATTCTCCAGCCTCCAATGAAATGCAAAGATATGGTCCCTACAGGTCTCCCGGAGGAGAGTCTCAAATGCTTCAAAATTTTGCTCCCATTCACCCACCAAATTTTCATGTGGGTACCTCTTCAATTAATTTATTTTAACTCATACATTAAATAGAGATCAGAAAATATAGAAACACGAGCCCACTCTATTATTACCACTCAAGCATTTTTAGCATTGGAGTTGTCAGCCCATTTATTTATTTATCTATTTATTTTATAAATATCTATCTATAGTAATATTCATATTGATTTTTTTATTTATTAAATGTAGTTTCCCAGCAGCAGCATTGGAGGCCGTATTGGAAGTGATCTTTCGTTGTCAATGGCCGATCAACAACAGTGGCAATCCGGGCCTCCACATTATTTAGCAACTGCTGCAGCATCATCAGGATTCCCACAACAGATAAGACCCTCTTCTCAAGGTTGGCTGCAGAAAAATGGGTTCCACACTCTCATGAGACCCTCATAACCCTATATAGAAATTTTCAGCCTCGCCAGTTACATTCAAATAATCATAATCTGCTCCCTAAGAATATCATCATCCCCCCCCCCCAAAAAAAAATTATTTTCTTTTCTTAGCATGTAAAAATGGATGCAGTGTTAGGCTGTGTCCATGTCCAACCCAGCCACCTCCTTTAGGAAGGCCATACAAGACCATAACTTTGTTATTGAGGTGAAAAGAAAGGATGAAAGAAAGAAAAAAAAAAAAAAAAGGAATCCAAATTGGGAACTTATTACTAGTCTTGGTCTGGGTCAGTCAAACTAACAAACGGACGAAATCTTTAACTAGATATTCTGGGCTCTGACTAAAATTTTATGATCTTATATAACTCTGATTTATTGCTTTTCTGCGTTGTGGTATTTATGACAGCACCTATTCGTTTCTTAATTTGGGATGTATTGCTATCACATACACATGGTTGTCAATTTGTTCCTTATTTTCCTTTGGATTGGATTGGGATTGGGATTGGTCTTAAAAACTTTTCCAAGGAAAGATGCTAGCTTTGGTTATTACATAGAAGGGCAATGGTGGGTTCTTTAGCTTGACAAAAAACGTTGAGACAAATCTAGCCAAAGCTTAAACGAGCAAAAACAGTAAAAGAAAATAAAATTAGGAAGCAGGGAATTTTTATATATTCATAGGAGGAGTAGGGTGGAGGTGGAGGCAGGGAAAAATCAGAGATACAAAATGGTTTATTTGCTGGTGTCTTGGAAATATCATCCGATGGTGATGAATAGTCTCCATCAACGGTGTCCTTTGAATCAGTTCTCTCGGCCAAAAGCAGTCAGACAATGCCATTATGATGAGAGGGACCTATCATTGTTCGTCTAAAGCTTCAAAAGGACACTGATACATGGAGTGAGAGAGAGAAAAAGAAGCGACCAAAAGGGTATAATGGCGAAGGGTTTTGAGGGGTTTAACTCTTTAACTATTGTCAGTTTTAACCTTTACGACAAACCACAAAAGTAAGCGCATAATAACAATGTTAATTAAAAAGTATAAACACAGGCTTTTGTTTCATCAATATCATATTAATATAATAGAGGATGTACTTTTTTGGACCAGAGGCGTCATTGGTTAATAGATTGGTTGGGTTCAACGATTCTAGACTTGTGAGTTTGAGAGGGAACAGCTTCTGACTCGTTAATGAATCAGACTCGATGTTTGATGATAAACTTTGTTATCTCGTAGGTTGCAAAAATAATAGTCTTGCCATTTAAATAATCACCCATTTGTTCTTTGGACCTTGTGGCTTGGTAAACAATTAAAATATCATTTTTAAGCATACACATTTTCGTCATCACCCGCGTCATCTTAGATATTTTCACCAAAATTATGCTTCAAATATTTTTTAATATAACACCCAAGTTTTAGGTTTCTTCTACTACTACTACTGCCTTGTACTTCCAAAATGGAAAAATTAAATAAACCAGTAATATGATTCAACTTAATCACTTTCTAAACCAAATTATTTTATTATTCCGTGCTCACCCTCCACACAGATCATTACACTTGGTTTTCTTTCGATTAACTGCAGAAAATAGGATAAAATAAATTCCTTTATAGTTTGTGCCAAAAATATATTTATCCTTGCTTACAAATTTGTTTGAGTTTTGATTTTCTTTATGACGTTATATTTCATACTTAACTAACAAAATTATTTTAACTAACTTATTCCCTCTTTAACTCTCTTCTATTTATCTAAGATAGATGAATAGATGTTTTCTTAGATTTTAATAATTTAAAAAAATTCTCTTTTGTTTATTTCTTTGTTAAAACGTATATAAAAGTGAGTGCGTAATATATTGTTCTAAATTACAAAAAAATCTCTACATATTAATAGTTAAACACATAAAATGTAGCATTTAAAAAAAAATTATATATATATATATATATATATATATATATATATATATATATATTTAACTATAATAAAGGTAGGACTATGAAGCTTTGCTTCCTGTAATGATTTATTTTAGGTAGGGCAGAGTTTATTCCCGTAGGATCTATAAAGAACTGTAGAGCTATAAACTTCAAATAATCTAAAATTTAAAATATATTGCACCTTCATTCAATATATACATGTGTATTTTGGATATGTATATTAAAGGAGTATCTTTTAGTTTTCTCTTGTTTTTTGAAATTTAATTAACCAATACATTTGTGATATGACTTTGAATAGGACTGAAGCCATAATAAATAGAAAAATGATATTTGAAAACCCAATTTCATACAACTTTATCAAACAACTCACTTTTAATATTATAATAATAATTTTAACTTATTTTCATTTTTATTTAATCTCTTTCATAATTATTATATTAATAAAATGGGTTATTTTTTGAATTATTTTTTCTTACGGTTGTCAAAATATCAGGAACCTAATAAATATTACGATAACAAATGTATAGAATCAATAACTCTTTTAAATATGGCATTTAAGGCGGGTTAGGAAAAAATTGTAACTTTTATGCCATGTTCATAAGAACAAAACTGTACTTTTATGATTACAAGTGAGTGATTATCATGATATGGTGCGTGTTTGATTTACAGTTACAAACTTGAAAGCTAAAGTTTTGCTTCTCATTTTGGTGCATTGAAATGTGTCAATATCCGTTGACAGAGACACAAATGGGTTTCTAAACATAATCATAATCAGGAATTATTAATAAAAGGTATCATCTCTTAATAAATTTCGTGTATTAATACAAAACATGCTATTTTTTGAATTCATACTAATATATATCTAAAGTTGATAATATCTTGAAGAGTATAGTGGATGAAGAAGTACCGTGGTCCAAGATCCCGTTCTACAAACCCTACAAGAGTAAGCTAAGAATCATATGTAGTTGGTTTCAGATGGTGAGAAGCAGTGCATGATAGATGAACAAGAAGAGGTTTGGTGGTGGTCCAAATATTTGATGCCATGGGCCTTGATTCTACGTAAAGGAAAGAAGAAAACAAAGCCAGTAAATTGCAGATTGGAGTACAAAGTGTGGCTCTGCAATTCAGTGTTCAGCATAGGTTAAAGCCCCTCTCACCTTAGATCTTTTTTCTTCGCATCCTATCAATGAGACACTGCTACATCCAGAGCGACTCGTTTCTCTCTCTTTCTCCCCCACATTTTTCCCTTTTCTTAGTAGTTTTACCCTAGCAAGTTTAAGGTTTAAGGTTTAAGGCAAATAGAACGACAAGATAAAAGCAGAAACATGGATAATATTAAACCTAGCTATATCCCCGAGAAAGAAAATAAAATAAAATAAAGGGGAGAATCTGATGGATATAATAAATAGTGGAATGAAAATAAAGAAAAATAGAAGTGAGATGAAAGAAACTAATATAATAGTAACCAGTGAAAAAAATAGCATGGTTGATTTTGGTGAGAGAGTAAGACAAGGTGGGTGGAGAAAGTAAAAAAAAATGGAAATCGAAAAGAGTAAAGTCATGCATCAAATGGGTTGGGTCGAGACCACCTTTTTTACCCTTTAAGTTGGGTGTTTCCATAAATAGGATTTCTTGAACGGTTGGAAAAGAATTGGGGTCTACTCGAACAAAATTGATTTTTGAAAGACGAAGTTGTTTGTCGATAATAATTGGGAAGAGGTGTGTGTGGTGGAGTTTGTTTGTGTGTTGATGGTAATTATAATAATAAAAAATGAATGTGTGGAGATGATGGTGACCGAGACAGAGACTAGGACTAGGGTGAGGAGTGATTGGTCCTATCACACACATTGTGGTCTCATTTGTTAGATCGCTTTCATCATTCACTCAGACAAACTACTCCTTTGGTTTCCCTTTCTGGGACGCGCTTAACCCCTCCTCTCTCTCTCTCATTCCAATTTTCACCCTCTCTTGTTCCATACACAACACACTTTCCTTTTCTGGCATGCTTGTGGGTTTGTTATTGTATTCACCTGCATCTGCTTCCTTGGATTTTTCTACCATGCATACCTCTTCACTCTTCTCTGGGAGCCATGTGCGTTATTTTTTCTTCTGTTTCATCCTCCTCCCATCTCCACTTTCACCACCCACACCAAACCATCCTATTCTATAACATCTCCTTCTATAATAAATAAATTCTATTTTAACTTCACCTTTCTCATCTATATAAGAATTTAACTTTTAGTTAGTAGTTAAAATTTTGATTCTTAACGTCAAATCATACAAACACAAACATAATTTATCTTAACTGGATTTTGTCATTTTAAAATGTAAAAATATTTACCACCTAGGTTCAACAATTTTATCCCTTATTTAAGTGATCTAAAAACACCCTTATGATTGTAAGTAAATTAGGGGATGTTTAATTATGAAGGATGCTTGGATTTTATCCAAAAAGTGGAAGACTACATTAATTAATGGTTACTCTAGCTCATAATACAATAAAAAAAAATGACAATCTTAGATTTGGCTATCAATTTTACACAAACCAGCAAATACCATTAAAGGAGTTTTAATTTAATTTTATGATTATCTTATTTGACTTAGATTTCCTAGTGAAACCTCGAGGTGTGTTCTGATATTTCTCGTTTAGGATCTTTGACAATTTTAAAACTTCCACGACTTCTTAAGAGAATCTCTGTTTGAATTTCAAAATGACCCTAAATCAATTGGCTGCTTGTTGGGAATTAGCCTTTCAATAGTGAGTGGTGAGAAACAAAAATTGCATTGCAGTGAAACTTGTAATTTACTTTACTTTTTGATTCAAAACTGTATTTACGAGCGTTACAAAGTGTGATAATTTGAAAAGGAATATCAGTTATTAATATTCAGATATATTCATGTCTTCAAATTTTGCAATCGCCCAACTGAAAAAAATATCCAAATTGTTGATCCAAGAGCCACAAGTTTATTAATATACTTTAAGATTTTGTTGTGTGTAGCAAGTTAGCATGGTAATATCGCATGTACTGTGAGACAAGGGGACCAGAAAACCCAGAGCCGATTAAAGAAGAAAGCGAGGCATTATGCATGTTTATAATGGAACGCAAAACATCATGTCATATCTCATATTTTCGACCTATTTTAGCCGTATATTACAAAATGATGATGAATGAGACAAAAGGCGACCAAAAATGAATAAACTTGATTTCACATTCTGAAAGGAAAGTTTTTGTACAGCAGATGATGAAAATAAAAGAAAATCCAAGAATACGGAAAACCTAAAGTTGAGAGCGAATGAATAAGATTAGTGTTAGGTGATAAAATATTCTGAAAATAAATGAAATGAGTTAGTTCATAAATAAGATTAGTGTGTGAGGATGGATATGAATGAAGTATTTGGAAAGCTCATTTATTCCTTTTGGTCATAGGTTAAGAAAGCAGAGGAGATTGTAGATGGAATGTGGAAGGGGTGTTGTGAATGCAATAACCAGTAATGGAAGGTTGGGTTGTGGTCCCCTCTTTCTTTTCTCTAAAAGAGATAAGCTACAGATGAAGATTGATGGAGATGCATGCTCTCTTCCTCGCTAACTATTAATTATCTTTCATTTTCTAATGTCCATTGTCTTAGCCCTATCCTTGTTTTGTCTCTAACTTCACCTTCTGTAACATCATTTTGTTCATTTCTGTAGGGACAGGATACGTTGCAGTTTATTTATTAGCTAGGGCTCTCTTCCGTAATTATCACTTTCTTTACCCATCAAATTATCAAACCCGTGCTTATTTCTAACTCATTGCTATATATCATCTCATTCCACTAATTATCACTTTATTTATTTACCTTCAAAAATATCATACTACTACTTATTTCACGTTTAAGACTCTTTAAACTTTAATCAAAATGCTTTACAAGAATTGAAACAAAAATCTTAATCATTGGTTTTTATTCAAGACATGTTCATCTTATAAAGATTACAAATTATATTTAAACCTCATTTTATCTTAAAACAAAATAAATACGCTATCTGTGATTATTAAATTCACTCTTAAGTTGCACTATTAGGTGAGAATATTAAAATATTTACACTAGATCAACCTATCTATCACAAATTTAATTACGATGTGACCATAGTTGTTGGGCATGAAGTTACTATCATACCTATGTGTAAGAGTATAGTAAGTTTTGAAGTCATCAAACATATTTCATAAGATATTTATTGTAATATATTATTTGTCTTCTCTATACAATGATGGTTGTATCATTAGGTCTCTAAACAAAAATAAAACGTAAAATATATATTTATTATACACAAATAGATAAATAGTTATTAAGCATGTTTATCTTTATATTTGACATCTTTAAAATTAACAAGTTTATCACAAATTATTAATATAATTTGCAACTTTCTCCACTAAACATCTTAAACCCTGTAGATAAAGTCATATATATATCGAACATTTTAAAAGTTTTCAAAGGCAAGAAAATAACAATCCAACACAATAATATTGTAAGATAATTTAATCAATTATTTTGTTTTAAGAAAATAGAGCAAACTAACAATGCTCTTTGGATGAGTCTGGTCGTGTTTTTATACCTTAATTAAAATTTTATTTTTCTTATTATTTTTATTTCTAATTTGATTTTCACATTATTCATTTGTTTTGAAAATTTGATTATATTAATTGTTCAATTTTAGTTAATTTGATGTCTAATTTTACCAGATATCAAAACCTTAAAGGGTGATATTAAAACAACCAAGTCTTATAACTATTCTTTATTTTAACTATTTGGGGTTCAATTATCATATTCATTGCTCTTTAATACATACAAAATGAAGTGTTTCCTTTCCATTTACCAAGAAAACAATATAAAATGTTTGCAGTTTACGATAACTTGGAAATAATCCTTATTATGGAGAGTTTTGTTATGAACATTTTTTGTTTTCTTCTATTGTTTTAACCAGATCTTAAAATTCGAATGGTTCAAACGTATTTCATTGCAATGCTTAAGAAGGGATTTTACGTAATGGGTCCAAATTTGTAATAATGGCATTTTGATCAACATAATTTAAAAACAAAGCGTTTGAGTTCAGGCGTATGATACCATCTTATAAATAAAACAAGAAGAATTTGATGGAGTTTTTTGAATAAGAAATATGAAATAGAAAGGAGGTGTAAAACTTTTAGGAAGAGTTTCCAAGATTGAATATTTGTTGGGTACATGGAAAAGTTTGAGGATTAACAAGTAAGCACTTGGAAGAGGAATGTGGCGTGTTCGAAGTTAGTGATGAATTATTCAGAAAGAGAAAATCAAAGAAAAATCGTATAGTTTTATGTTACATACTAATATTCCCATAAAACCCAAGGGAAGTGGAAATTGTGAATAAGAATCATATTTGGGTAACATGGAAAGGTTTATACGCGATTTTGTTCATGAGAAGTCAATTCGGTTGGTTGAATCGGTTTTAGTTTTTCCTTTTTACGAGCGTTAAGGCTGGATTGGTCAAATGATTACGTTACTATTATTATGATTTCACATCGCAATCCGTTTGAGGTTGAGGAGTGGCTACGCAAGTTCTTTCCCGTGAATGGAAAAAAGAAAATTCAGTGTCTACACGAATAATGGAAAACGAAAATGTCTGGGAATGTGAATGGAGTTTGGTAATCAATTGTTGATGGTTGACACTTGTGAAAGCAGAGGATGAATGTGGGTAGAAGATGTGAGGAAAAGGGCAATGTAACAGAGACCCTGAAACAGGGACAGCAGAGTTTATGGCTTTGCTTGTCCAAGTTGCTTAATTTCAATAGGAAACAGGTATGTTTCCATTTGGGCCAGTGCCAATCAAAGAGGCTTACGAGTTTCTACTATGGGTAGTGCACCACTTTCGTTCAGTTTTCTAACCGAATGTTCTCAACAAAAAACAAACAATTGGGGGTTGGTGAACGGTGATTTGTTTGGTGTCTTGTCTTGCACATATCGTGGTGAACGCATAAAAAGGTAGTGGGAAACTAGAACCTACTTTTCCAAAGTAAGTAAAGTGTTGAGCAAGGTTGTTTCTTATTTGGGTCATGTGATGGACTTTGGGGGGCACTCTTTTTAAGTTATTGGAGCAAGTTTAGTGTTCAACGCAAACTTCATCTTCACCAACCTTTGATGTCTACCATTTTCTTCTTTCTATGATCAGCATGATGATTGTTAGGGCTGAGCAACTCAGAGTGATGTTGCATCCCTTTAGGACTTGCCTCTCTTGATGCCTCAAAATTGTTTCAGAACTTGGTGTGATGCCCTTTTGTTGCATGTTTGAAGAACGAATACCACTTCCATAACCTAAATATAGCCTTGCCTATGCTTTTAACTTCTGCATAGGCCATCAGCCCAATTAAGTCACCAACATTGCAAATTTAGGCTAATACTAAAAATACCATGCCCGGCCCAAACCTCCACCTCATTCACGGCCTTTTTCCAAAACTATTCTAACTTCGTTTTTTAATCACACACACATATGTCATTTCATACTATTATTGCACTTCTAATTTTAATCTTTATTCACCCCCACCTTTACTTCCTACAAATAAAAAATTAATACTAATTGTATATGATGGATTGTGTGTTAAAAACACACAAACACATTAATGTTAAACGCGATGGAGACAACTTTCGTACGTGACCAAAAATAAATTGAGAACGTAATGGCTGAAAAAACTAGTAGTAGTGGTGTTGCGTGTGTAACAAAATATTACCTAGCTATTCATCTAAATTTGATGTTGAATTTTTTTGTTGACTTCCACCAAGTTATTCAACCAAATAAGGATGAGTTTGATCCAACCTTCAAATCACTATACCTTAAACCCACACAATACTGTTGGTTTAGTTAATAATTATATTAAACCGCTTTTTGGTATTCTTGTGCGCATCATTTCTTAAGATTACACTGAGTCAATTAAAAGGATGTGGATCACTTTTTTTGAAGAATAGTATCTACTTTGCTCCGTAACATGTAACTTTATAACAACGAATACCAAAAAGTTGTATTTTTTTTACGTAATAACCACTTGATAAGAGATACCAATGTTTTCTGGGTCTAAGTAGCAGAATTTGATTTCCTTTAAGATCTTAAGTTTAAGTCTCGTGAACGATTAAGAGAGTTTTGTCTTCTTAGTTAGATTCTCCCATCTCGTTTTGTAATTGGTAACAGGAGACCCAGAAACTAATTTAACTGATGGAGGCCATGTTATAAGTAAATTAAATAAAGAACTCATGCACCCCACCTATACTTTGTCAAATTAAAGGAAGCAAAATGTCAGAAAACTCATGCAACTGCAAAAGAATTAACAGTAATTCTAAGTTACACTACAATGATTAATTTTGTACCGAAGCCCTATGCACCCCATAGGATTACTTCGTTATTATTAGTTTCAAATTTTAAAACTTCTGCAATTTTACCAGAATATGACTTAAAAGTGGAATTTCTCGAAAATCATGCAAAGTCAAATAAGATTAAGAACTAGTAAATGACAATCACTACGAGTGTTAATTCTTCCTCTCTTGAACTACTCTAGTCTTGGATTACTGAGATGATGTAAATAACTTTTTTCTCTTCTGGTTTATTAGGTCCATTGACTGTAGCCGAAAATGTTGAAAGGAGAAAGGAACCTTGTTCAGTTGAACTTTTCGACTATAAATAATTATCGACACCTCGTAGTTTAGGCAAAACTGATTCTCACATGAAAAGAATGATGCAGACTTCCACGTTCTTCCCAAAAGCATCTTGCCGGAAGAACAAAATTATAAATGATTTTTGTAACACTATTTCTGCTTCTGTACATCTCTTTCCTGTTCCTGGTGTGGCTTCTGCCAAAAGCAAACCTGTTTACGGAAAAGCAAACCTATCAGAAAAACAATGCCCCCTACGTCGTGTTATCTGCTAAGATTTGATATTAACTGAGAAGGACGAAAGACGCACTTTTGAGTAAAAAGCCTATATATAAAGTGACATATATTGAAAAAAAAAAAAAAAGTACAAGAAAGGGTTGTTTGGTTGAGAGAAAAATAATGATTTTTTTTAATTGTTTTATTTATTAAATCAATGATAATTTGTCAGTTGTTCATTATTATTATTATAATAAATTAAAAAATAGACCCACAATCGATTAAGGATCATGATGCCAAATCTACATGTCACAACGTGTATTCCAGCAACATAATCAATTATTCGTGCAATGTAGCAAATTTCTGGATGTTTTTCTTGGCAGTGCAAGGTGGAACAAATTTGTGAGACCCACTCGCTTCTTTTTTTTCTCTTTTCTCCATACTTCTTCCAACCAACCCACCCCACCTTGTCTCATTTCTACTCTCTACCTTCCTCCCTCTCTCCCCCTTGCCAAAAGCAAGCCTTAATCCACAGACCGGCTAGTATATATTGAAGGGACGATAACAGTGTAATAATTACAATTCTAGCATTTTGATAGCCAATAAGAAGTCATGATAGATTGCTACTAAAAGCTATGCTCCATATTTAGAAGAAAAGACAATAAAGTACCTTCTATTAGGAAATCCTGAGTATGAATAGAGGGTTTTAGTATTCTGAGGAGCTCAACTATAGGATCTGCGAAGAAGTAAAATTTTTCAATTGAAACAGATACGAATTATCATGACCATATCAACCAGTTGATATAACATGAGCAGTGACTATAAAAAATGGTAATGTTCTCTTTATATGACATTCAGTAAACTAGCAAATGAAAAGTAATATTCAGCCAAAATCAATAGTAATGTACAGCCAAAACTTACTGCCTTCAGTAGTTTATCTCCTCTGGTGAAGCACAAAACTAACTTCTGTTGGAAGAAACAATAAGTCATTAATCATTAATACAAAGCAAGGAAAAGGTCTGTAGAAAGTAGTACAATGTATGTCTTACATCTCTTAAAAATTCAAATACAAAGTGCTCCCATGTCAGGTGTTCCCAAGTCATATTCACTAGGTACTTCTTTCGCAGAATTCCCCTTCTTTCCTTGCTTCCTTTCATTTTTGCCCCTTCTCGAGTCAGCTGCTTGGTTACTGACAAACCAGAAATATTGGTCGCACACATTAAAATTTTCTACTATGGAACTCCACTTGGTTACATTCTTGTAGCAAACTAAATCAAGTCAACTAACTTAAATCCAATGAACATCAGGTGAGCTCCAAAAAAACATTTCCAAACACTGCAGACACTAGCTGAGTGGTTGAAAGTTAAGTTCTATAGAAAAGTATATAATAAGACACGTACATTACAAACTTGGTAGATTGTTTTCCCACCGCAGATCCACAACAAGCTTTATATTTCTTTTTGGAACCACACGGGCAGACCTTGTTTCTAGGAATCTGGTGGTTAACACCAGAAAGAAGAGGCATTTAGAATAACAAAAGCATCTCAAAGAAGATCACACTATTAGAACAGTTTATTTATTTTGGAACAACCCCTTCTGGGGATTAACCATCTATAAACCAAAATTAGAAAAAAATAGAGAACCTTATCATTTGGTTGCAATGTGATATTATCATTGGTCTTCTTGGAACAACTATTCGATTCATCATTAGTGCTGTCCTCTACCTTGTCTTCTTTGTGTTGCTTATGGTTCTCATTTTCATCATGACCTATACATGCTTGGAATTTGAGACAAGGGTTACAATAGAACAAAAGTTTAATTTCTTTCCTCCTGATCATAATGGTTTATACTAAATGCTATTGAATAAACATTAACACACCCATGAAACCTCTATGCAAGAAAAAAAAAGCTACCAGATAAGCCGAAAATGTTAGTTGGCTGGCTATCTAACAGTACGGAAGTGCAAAATGAACTTATTATTCAAGAATACATTACCATGAGTATTAGCCTGACTTGAAGGGGAATCCGAGTTTGCAGCGCACTCCTCTGTTCCCTGTTCTGCTATTAGAAATTCTATTGCAGCATCAACATCTCCGTTTACCTGCTCTAGAATCTAGTACAAGGAAGACATACTTTGAATATATGTCAAGTTGTTATTTTTTTTAGAAAAGACAGCAAGTTGCAAGAGATCTAGCTGAACTGAAGTATTAGTCATGCAGCACAACAAGCAAACAGCAGAAAGGTATGCACTCGTTTCACCTGTTTCACTTTTTCGGTGTTTTCACATCCAGTTCCAGCCATAACCACCTTTATGGACCCTGGTTGAAAAGTTTCCCTACCAGCTCGCCCATGGGATTTGTTGTCCAAACCTTTAGTTTGATGTGAAGGTGCTGAAAGATCAGCATCAGCCTTTCATAAACTAAAATTAATCAGGCAATAGCTACAATATTTAGTATTAGAGCATGGATCAGGAAACAGAAATAATAACAACCTTAATTACAATTGGCCTTGCAGGTCCATCGCAAGGATCATCCTTCAACCGCACACTGTTATAATGCTCCCCATCATGATACGACCTGAAAAAACAGTACAAAATAAAAAAAACGTCCCTATTCAAATGCATATATATATATATATATATATATATATATATATATATATATATATATATATATATATATATATATATATATATATATTAAAAGCACAGGACAATATTACAAGACAATGTCATTTCTTAATAGATGGAATGACGTGATTAAGATTAGAAACTACTTATTACAAAATATTCTAACCACGTACCAATAAGATCTGTAAAAGCTAATCAATTCCAAATCCTTGGCAAAATCATTGAAAGGACTTTTCATTCACAGACAACTATTCGACTTTCACTCCATAATTATATCAATGTTCCAGCAAAACAATCCAACAGAATCATATTGGTTTCAATCAGATCCATAAATCACACTCAATTGTCATTTTCCATACCTCATGTCTAAATAATAAGCTCAGCATACACTACAACTCTAATATTCTATTCATGTGCTTGTGTGTGATTCTAAGTGGTGGTTTTACTAACTGAATGCCTGATTTGAAAGCAGTTGTCTCCTAATCATAACAATGAAGACATAGAGTCTGCCAGCAAGTTGAAGATATAAACAATATTTTACTTGTTTAGTCATAGATTTAGCACATTGAAAGGATCAATATAATTTTCAGAGAAAAGAGACGATACAACACAGTGCAATGTCACATTAAAACCATAGACTCGATGGTACTTACAAATGAACCATTCGAACTCCCCTATCATTATAATTTCTTATGTACCACCGAGGAGACATGTTCTGCAAAATCACACCAATAAGAATAGGAATTTCAATTAACTTTAGCATGTAACAACATGCCAAGTCTATCCAAGACATTATAAAAGCAATTAAATACAACTGAACAAAAATGCATTTACTATTTTTGATGTGAACATGACCTATGATAAGGGTTAGAGCAAGGGAAATAAAGGAAGTTCTTCAACAAGTATTGTTGGTTGACCAAATTATATTTTAGATTAATCAATTAATGAACTTTAGTTTGGTTTTATTGCAAGTTGTAATAAGAGCCCAATTGGAAATTTAGTTATCAGTCTTTGGGAGACCAAGAGGGTGTATAACTGATTGACTTTTGGATGCCACAATTTTAGTTATAATAAATCATTAAGTAGTTTTCAATTCTTAGGTTAATGGATCATTATTAACCTTTATTTGTCTCCATTAAGTAGTTTTCAATTCCTAGGTTAATGAATCATTATTAGCATTTATTTTCCTTTATTATATCTTTGTAATTCTGATAGCAAAGCTTTTATATAGGCTGAACCATTTTTATCAAAAATAACAAGTAGAATTTTATTCAGAACTATTAGAGTTTATCTCTTTTATCTTAGTGAGAGTGATTCTCCTAAATTCTTGAGTGATTCAAGAACCCTTGGCTGTATCAAAGGACTTTCACATCCTTTGTGAGTTGCCTTCCTTGGAAAGAGTGATTCTTTTCTTCCACCTTATCACTAAATTCCTAAATTTCTTACAAGGTTCTAACCCTAAAGATCCTAAATCACCCCTTGTGATTCATATCAATTTTCAGTTTTCACATTAACAAACAAAGCTTAAATTGCATACTAATCATCAATATAAAAAGATGCGACATTAGAATATAAGGAGAAAAGTAGATTATCTTCAAAGATGCTGCTCACCCTGTGAATGCATATATTACTACGTGTTACAAGAGAAGCTGCCTGCAATTCCATATGTCCAGCCCATGTACTATCATTTTCCATGGACTGGCAATATTCATGAAAAGGGACTTCATCTTCAATAAAGGGCTCAAACATCTCCCGGTTATCCTGTTAATCACAGCTTCAAGACCAGGTTATGTGAAGGAGTTTTCCCAAAAATTGAAGAGGCAAACTAACATAGTAAAGTTCACAGCCTCAGTTAATGATTATGTACACAAACATAAAGTATCACTGACAAAAAAATATGCAAAACATAGGTAATCAGCAATCCTTATGATTGATTATGGATATTATTTATTTTTTCCAACTAGGTTAACTGTGAATACTTAGGTGACTAACTAGATAAAGGTTCCAACCCAAATGATTTTCCTCTTCCCACCGCTTACATCAACAATGCAAAGATTAACTAAGTATTTCAAGTCCTACCTATTTTTTTTTTCCTATTTTTCTAATCAAGGGAAAAAGGGAGCAGAGGGGACAATAAATTAATAACATACATATAATTTTGTTCAATGAATTTCAAAATCCACATGAATAAAAATCATTACATCAACAATACATAAGCTTGAAACACAAGGAAAATTGAAGAAGAGGAAGAAAAGAACAAAATTGTTTCCAGAACATTGTACCAATATGTGTTTCACGACCAGGCTGCGGTACTTTCTGTGTTCCTCTTCATTGCCTTCCAACTGATCAGCAAGGGCTCTGCAAAAGAATAGAAGAGTGCAGATGTTAAGCTAATATACAATGTTTTTCACTCATCGTACTGAAAACACCAAATGCCAGTGAAACTTACCTAGCCAGAAATGAAAAAACAAGAAGGAGGGCAGGGGGAGATAAGGATCTAATTTAATTATAATGCCAAGATTATAGGGTCTATAACTTATTAACAGTTTCAAAATAAGAATAACTAAAATGGTATTTTAAATGAAAATAGGGTATAGCAGTATGCATTATGTAACAGCACACAATCACTAGCTGAAGAGTAATAATACCCTATTATATACAATTTACACAATATTGATAATGTAGCCAGTGCAAATGGATGCAAAGCATTCAAACTGACCTGAAGAAGCAATTACCATCTGCAGTCACTTCAACAATGCGTAAGCCCAGAGCATCCAACTGGGTCCGAAATTGAAGAGTATCACCCTGTTTTCCCAGCTTCTTAACCTGTTTCCAACACATGGCTGGTCACCACCAATGGCTTAAGTATCAAAATAACATCTATTACTAGAAACACTATAAAGTATAAACTTATAATTGGATTTGAACTTAATATATTGAGATATAAGAGCTTTCTACAACAGCCTTATCCCACTAGTACTAACTAAATGGCTTAAGTATCAAAAAGACATCTATTACTAGAAACACTATAAAGTGTAAACTTATAACTGGATTTGAACTTAATATATTGATATATAAGAGCTTTCTACACCAGCCTTATCCCACTAGTACTAACTAAGGATATAAAGGAGATATCATTATTATTAATCAAAACAGTTAAATTAATAGTAAATACAATAAGAGAATTATTTATTATCCGTTGTTGCCTTTAAAAGTCTTTTTAATACCTTCACAAAGACAAAATAAAAAATACAGGAGGAGTTAAAACTGAGATTGAATGGAAAAAGCTTAAGTGATCTGTTCAGTCAGCATACTTTTAATATACGTATAAAGGATGATTACAGAGTGATAAATAAATGAGGGTATAATCACTTCCTAGAAGGAAAAAGTAAATACACAAACTCAGCTTTCTACTAAATAATGAAATAACTTTTTCTAACAACAGGAAAACCAAGTTGAAATACAGAAAGAGGAAAAAAAAAATCATCACCAAAAACCCTAGGCCTAACCACAAATGAGCCTTAAACGACAGAAAGATTTCACAAATTTAGACAAAGACATCCATGACAGTACATCACTAGCCACATCAACACCCGTGGAGTAGATGTCATCATCTTTGTCTCTAACCTCTAATGTAAACTGTAAGTAAAGTAGTGCTACAACGATGTCATGAATTAATTATTTCAGAAATATGAAATGGATGATACACGTTGAGCAATCTAAACTCTAAAATGTTCCTTACGCACAATTTTCAAAGCACAAGCTTCAAAATAATGTCACTAGCAATAGTGCATTATTTCAGTAGCACATCATACATGTCCCCTCTGGAAGAAACCATGAAAGATGCAATGCAACCCGCTCTAATCTCACTAAAATACATAAATAAATAAAATAATGAAATTGGTACATGATTACAGGGTTTCTATTGATCATCACTTGCAGTAAAACAGCTAAAGCATTGATATCAGAGAGATACTTTAGAAAATAACAAATTGGGATCACAAATGCGACATTATTATGCATGAATTATAGAACAAATAGAGATTGATTACAGAGAGAAAACGAAAATTAAGAAACGGATAAGAGATGACAGAAGTTGAAACCTACTTGCGGGTGTTGTTGCGCCTTCTGGGGTGGCTTCTTCTGTTGCTTCGGCTTAACCATATCGTAGTCCGAAATCGAAAGACAAGACAGAATTCTGAAGATGTCTGTCGGAGTCCGTCCTAGCTCGAGTGCAAGATACAAAAAGTGAAGGAAGAATTAAAACAAAACAGACTCCAATCAGCATCATTACTTGTTGTTACTTATGGGTTAGGAGCCCATGGGCTTCATGAACAGCCGAAAAAATATATGGCTATTTTTCTTCCTGCACCCCCATAATTTCTCTCTGCATCCATGATTAAATTAAATTTCATTTTACCTTACACTTATCTTCATCTTCATCTAACTGCATTTTGGGTTGGTCTTTTAAAAAATACAGTATGAAATAAGTTTTGGAAATATCTAATCCAAAATACATTTTTACATTGGCTTTTCTGAAACACCTAATTTAAAATATATTTTTGAAACGAGGGTTCTGGTATACGTTTATAGAAAAGTCCATCGGAAAATATATTATAAATTGGGTGTTATGAAATTTTATTATTTCAAATTGAGTAATTTGAGTTTGTTTCAAATTGAGCAAGTTGAGTCTGTTTGTATAACTTGAGTATATAAACATGTAATTAATATATAATATTAACGATTACTTATTTTTAATTATTAGAAAATACCTTTAATAGAAATGATAATAAAAATCATATAACTAAAAGATGGAGGTCCAAAATGTAACGACCCTAGAAATCGCTACTATAATGATGTCTTCGCAAAGTAGTAAACAAGTAAATAACAACATCTATTTTACATTATATTACTCGTAATTGTAACATATATTGAAATTTCAGCTCAATAACGTAACTTCAAAATATAGTAACATAATTTATTTATATATTATACATGTAAAAGTAGCTCCTCGAAGCTATCCCATCGAACTATCCATGTTGTCCAAGTAGTCACATCACCATCTCTCAACTCCCGATCCGCTCCCACATAAAAGTGATCATCGCAGATCCCATCCACATGGAAAAATAGGGGTAAGTATTAAATCATTCGATATAATAAAACAGATATAGAAGTAATAATTATATATTATGATCAATTACGAAATTATCAACACACTAAGACACCTTCCGAAGTATACCCTAACTATGCCCAAACTCGGAGGCTATCATCTCGTGGGCATATCGTGATCGGTACCTGCAGCACCATTCCGACCACCCTCCACACAGAGTAGGATTATCGGCGCCCTTCATCACTCATACCGGAGTACCCCTCCGAGCGCGCCACCAGTAATCCCCCCATCGACTTCTCACCACCTAATCTCGTAGTCTACCTGACCCGACCAATCAGTGAAGTCTGGGACCTCATTCAGAATCCTCCGACATAGTTATTACACTAATGTACTCTATACCACCCCGGGTACCATTCAAACATACAAAATTTATTTACATTTGCCGGATTCTAGACCACCTGTCCTCACGGCTCATTCGAGTCAATAAAAATAGTATTTGACTGATTCTGGCACCAACCCTCCGACTCAGTCTAGCCAATATATAACGTCTCAGGACTGATTCTGGGCATCAGCCCTCAGGCTCAGTCTGACCCACACACGTCACAACACACTACTTTCATTCTCTCTCTCTCTCTTTATATATATATTTTTCTAAAATAATTTCCGAAACTATTTTCGAAATCATTTTCAAAATCATTAAATTACTATTTTGCCCTTAATCTTTTCTTAAAATTCCATGTATGTCCCTAAACGACTATTTTACCCTTGGACATTCTTGAAAATTCCATTTATGTCCCTGTGATGTAAAATGACTAGTTTACCCTTGATCTTTTTAAAAAATCTCCACCATATCCCTTTCTTCTTCCTTCTCTCGCTCAAGCGAGTACACCGGTCGCTTGAGCGATACAGAACCCGAGAGTCCCCTTTGTTTGAAGGCTTCGTCGCTCAAGCGAGTACACCGGTCGCTTGAGCGAGACATGACCCGAGAGTCCCCTTTGTTTGAAGACTTCGTCGCTCAAGCGAGTACACCGGTCGCTTGAGCGAGACATGACCCGAGAGTCCCCTTTGTTTGAAGGTTTCTTCGCTCAAGCGAGTACACTGGTCGCTTGAGCGAGACATAACCCGAGAGTCCCCTTTGTGTGAAAGCTTCGTCGCTCAAGCGAGTACACCGGTCGCTTGAGCGATAAATGACCCGAGAGTCCCAAATTTTCCAAGTGTCCTCACTCAAGCGATGTATTTTTCGCTTGAGCGAAATTTGCAGATTTTCCAGTTCGCCATTTTCGAAATCCAGCATTTCAAATTTCTCGCTTCAATCACCCAAATTAGTTCCAAATCAAAATTTAACCATAAACATGTTCAATTTAAGTTAAAAACAACAATTTTATTATATAATTCATCCTTAATTTCAATAATAAAAAAAAACTTTCAAACGATGAACTGTTCATCAAAATCAGAAATTCTTCAAAATTAGACATTCTTCAAAATTATACGTTCCAATACTTCATATCTCTACTCCTATTCCTTATTCACAGAGTACCCAACAATTCAATTTCATATATTGAATGAATTAAACTTCCCCTTACTTGGTATGGTATTTCTACCGAAGCTTTCCCACTTAATTCAAGTTCTCTCCCGTTTCACCAAATCCTGCACGAGTAGAGTCTCGTTGCTTGAAATTTAGACAATAGAAGAAGAAGGATGAGAGGAAAATTTTTGATTTCCCTCCTCCCCCGCTTCAATATTCACATATAAGAAATTTTTTTTACTGTGCATGAGTAAAACTTCATTACGAAGTTTTCTTGCACAGTAATATTAATATAATATTAAAATAAGGCATACGTCACAATCTCCCCTCCACAAAAATTTTCGTCCTCGAAAATAAACTTACTTGGAAATAGATATGGATAAGACTCTCGCATCTGATCCTCCATCTCCCAAGTGAAGTCTCCGGATTTCGATCCCATACTACCTTTACCATTGAGATAGTTTTACCTCTAAGTTGCTTCAGATGAGAATCCTCTATCCTTACTCGGTCTCACATCAACGAGAGATCGTCTCTAATCTGCACATTGTCTGACTCCAGGACATGACTGGGGTCATGTACATATTTCCTCAACTAAGATACATGAAATACATTGTGCAGATTCGCCAAATGAGGTGGCAATGCTAACTGATATGCCACTGGACCTACCTTCTTCAAAATCTGATATGGGCCAATAAACTTGGGAGTCAACTTCTTAGATTTAATTGCCCTTCCTACTCCAGTAGTAGGTCTGATTCTCAAAAATACATGGTCTCCCCCCTCAAATTCCAAAGGTCTCCTCCTCTGGTCCACATATGATTTTTGTTTACTCATAGCGGCTCTCAGCTTCTCTTGTACCTCCCGGACCTTCTCTGTAGTCTGCTGGAGTAGCTCAGGTCCAATTAACACTTTCTCCTCATCCTGATACCAACATAAAGGTGTTTGACACCTCCTCCCATAAAGAGCTTCATATGGTGCCATTCCGATACTGGCACGATAACTGTTATTATACGTGAACTCTATTAAGGGAAGGATCTCATCCCAACTTCCTAGATTATCCAACACACAAGACCTCAACAAGTCTTCTAGTGACTGGATGGTCCTCTCTGACTGTCCATCTGTCTGGGGGTGATAGGCTGAACTCAACCTAAGTCGGGTACCTAATGCCTCTTGTAAAGTCTGCCATAATCTTGAAGTAAATCTAGGATCCCTATCCGAGATAATGCTAGATGGTACCCCATGTAATCGAACAATCTCGCGAATATATAGTTGTGCCAGTTTAGCCATAGATATCCTCAGATTTACAGGGAGGAAATGTGCACTCTTCGTCAATCTGTCCACTATCACCCAGATCGAATCGTACCCTCGAATTTTCCGTGGTAAATGGGTAACAAAATCCATGGTAATGCTATCCCACTTCCATTTAGGTATCTCCATTTGTTGTAGCATTCCTCCCGGCCTTTGGTGTTCCACCTTTGCTTTCTGACAAGTCAAACAAGCAGCCACATACTCTACAATATCTCTCCTCATACCAGACCACCAATAAACCTTCTTCAGATCTTGATACATCTTAGTCATACCAGGGTGTAGACTTAGACGACTCCGATGACCTTCATCTAGTATTGCTCTCTTCAATTCCTGGTCAACAGGAATACAAATCCTTCCTCTAAATCTCAGAATATTATCCTCACCCATCTTATAGTCAATGGTCTGCTCGAATCCTAACTAATTTATAACACTTTTCAATGTCATATCACCTTGTTGTCTATCTCTCGATCATCTCGAGAAAATCATTAGTAATGGTAATGCTACCACAACTAATACTAGTATCACGAAACTCTACATCTAGATGCAGATCCTCGAACTTCTCAAGTAATCTCAATTCATCCATCATCATTGCTGACATCTGAACTGCCTTCCTACTCAAGGCGTCAACCACGACATTCGCCTTTCCTGGATGATAAAGTAACTGAAAGTCATAATCCTTCAGAAACTCCATCCATCTTCTCTGTCTCATATTTAGCTCTTTCTGATCGAATAAATACTTCAGGCTCTTGTGATCACTAAACACTTCAAATCTGACTCCATAAAGATAATCTCTCCACATCTTGAGAGCAAACACCACTGCTGCTAGTTCTAAGTCATGAATGGGATAATTCCTCTCATGAATTCTAAGTTGTCTCGACGCATATGCCACCACCCTTTTATCTTGCATCAAGACACAACCTAACCCCTGAATAGAAGCATCACAATATACCTGAAAAGATTGAGTCACATCTGGGATCACCAACACTGGGGAACTAGACAATCTTCTTTTCAACTCCTGGAAACTCTCCTCACATCTATCTGTCCAAGCAAAAGGTTGATCCTTACGGGTCAACTGTGTCAAAGGAGTTGCTATCTTAGAGAAACCCTCTATAAATTTTCGGTAATATCCTGCAAGTCCCACAAAGCTACGCACTTCCGTCACTGTCTTAGGGGGTTCCCATTTTAACACTGCATCTACCTTAGTAGGATCTACAGATATCCCTT